CAAGTTAGGCTAAAATATGAGGCTACAGACGATAATAAATTAAGAGCCGTCTGGGAACTGAAAGAGTCGGCTTTTCTTTGGGAGCCGTGCCACAGGAGCCGGTTCTTTGAAAAGACTTCCCAAACTACCACAGATGACAAGAGAAAGACAAGAACTGGATGTTGCACGTCAGTTGAGACACTTCAGAGTCTAAGAAACTAAGAAACCATTTCAGACAACCTAAATGCAACAGGATTCTGGTTCCCAAAATGTCCACCAACTTCTCTGAAGCCTTCAGGAAAAAGAGTGACAAAACTCCACGAGCAGCATCAATAACTTCATTAATCATGTGTGCAACTATATGAACACTTTCAAAGCAGAATTTGCAAAGCACAGCAGCGAAAAAAAGCGATAGAGCACACAGGCTCTGGGAAAACAATCTTAAACAGCGTAAACAAGCAGCACATTTTGAATAAGACATAGAGGTAATATCAAGACAGCAGCAGCATAAAGCACAAACGATGCAAATTATGAGCAGCAGAAAGCAAGACACCACATAATAGCACTGAATATGAAATACGAGATGCACGAAAGGGCATGTTTAGTTCGTAATGCAGCCAACAAATACAAAGACATGAGTTCAATACAAGCCGCCTCCTCCTGCAGAGGCCGGAAACCATCCCAAAGCATGATGCAAAACCACCTTAGCCATTAACACTCCAATATGTGATTCTTCACGCCAAACAACACCAGCCATGGAAAAAAAAAGAAAACAAGAGCTGAAGCAACCATTACTGCCAAAGCAAACACTTTACATACACAAGTGAAGGGAAGCAGCAACAACAGCCCAAATACAGAACACAGACAAATCAGCTGGAGAGCATTTTATCAACAAGACGTCAGTGAAGCACATGAGCACGCCAAGCAAACAGAGCCAAGACAGAAACACCAGCAGCCAGCTCTTACCTTGATGAAGTATCCAGGTTCCACAGCAGGTAGATGCGTCTGGGGTTTCACAAACACAGTTATTTCCACGGATCATGCGTCCTGAAGCATCAGATGCACTGTCAGGTGGATTCACTTATAAAACGCCATAATCAAGGAAAAGCCAAGTGGCAGCAAGATTTAGTGTCTGTACTTGACAGTGGTGCCTTGTCAACAGTGTCCGACATTTTTTTTTTTTAAAGCCCGCCTGATCTGAGCAGGATGCGCTTCAGGTGTTGCACCAAGTCACGTGTCTTTACGCGCAAAACCCGCTTCATTCAACGTAACCATCGTTCCTAAACTTGCAAACTTGTATATTGTCTTGAGTCCCAGATAGTTTTTCTAGATGATACATCCCTGTAGAGTCACTATAAACCCTGGCAGCACCTTTGACATGTAAATTCGGACCCTTCTCCGTGCGTAAATTTCCACCTGTCAAAGCTGCATCTTGTAACACGAACTGCTGCTTCCGTTGTTGTGATTGCTGGAAGAGAGGCTGTATAGTTATTAGTTCCACCTGTGCTTTTGTTGCCGTGAGTAGTCCAGATATCGGCTGGAGAGAAGAAGGAGAAGAAAAAAAAAAAAGAAATGAGAAACGGGTTTCATAACGAGATTTAAATCATGATACTGGATGGACAGACTTTTGATGAAAAACTGATGGTGCTCATTAAGATTATGTAGCCTGGTGTAGATTCCAGGGTGCACACAGGGGATACATCCCCCTCGTATTAAAAACACCTGCGTTTGTCTCCTCTAATAAAAACAAGGGGAAAAAATAAAGGACTTTTATTTTGAAAAACCTCCATAAACATGCGCGTCTTGTTTCTTCAAACGTGTTAAGTGTGCAGATGGCTTTGATCGTTGGAAGTGATCTTGCTGAAGTCAATAAAGTGCAGGGGTGTACAAATAAATGTATCTGCAGTTGATCTACAAACTTTAAAAAGTAATTCAAATAACTTATTCTCACTAAATGCATGTTTGCTAATCTAATTTCAGCATCAAATCCTGTAGGGGTTCACTTGAGAATTTTTAGAGCAGATTCTGGGAGAGTATTGTATTTCAAAATTCTCCCAAGTGGCTCTTATCTGTGGAGCCCAGGGTTGTTCATTTTGACCTTGCAGTTTTGCAGCTGTATTATTTAAATTTGAAAGGGGTTTTTTTTGAGGAGGAGGAGGAAATATCAAACATAGCCTAAGGCTGAAGGGGTTAATGCGCAGAGGGGATCTGTGCTCTATTTACAAAAACTCAAATGTGCATTCTGAGCAGAAACTGACAAGGAACATGTGTGGAAAGAAGCATGTAGTTCACGTCTTTGATATAGTTATATTTGATTAATTCTACTTGACTTGCAATCAGTTGGCACAACAACTAGATTTGATGTAAACCATGCAGCACTGATCCGTCAGACTTTCAAAGCACACCAGTTGTTCTGTATTTTTGATATAGGGGCAGAAGATGCAGCAACGTACTCACTTAAACCACAAAGAGCAGACTTGCTGCTCAGCTCTTTATGGTTGACCTCAATCTTCAGAGCTCACAGAGTATTGTCTTTCTTGAGCAGGTGGCGGTGTGCTGGTTTGGCATTTTACCGCCCGTGTTGTTGTGGTGTAAAAAGTCTGTCCTTCCCCGCAGTGCTCAGCGCTACCAGTAATTACCTCAGTCATCAATTCATTCTACTACAGCTTAAGTGCTAACGCAGCTAATCTTGTTAGAGTGATTTGATTAGCAGGAAGATCACCAGCTATCACACCTCCAGGCCAGGAGCGCCGGAGATGGAGCTTTGTCCGCTTTCTGGCCTTACTCACCCATAAATGATGTATTACTTAATGAATCATAAATGCCAGATTTTACAAGTTGCATCGGATTCCTAACAGTTGCACAACAATCTTGGAATGACCATTGATGCATTCTTTTAGATTGACTTATATGAGGTCATTTGCAGGACGTGGAGTTTTGTTTTGCTGAAGCACCAACCGCTTCTACAAATAAACCATCGCCTATCTGTTCTAAAAACGTACCATAGATGCCACAAGACATTTCGTTCCCCACCTAATCTTCTCCCTCTCCATTGTAAAATCAATAACATCTGTTTCTGCTTGAACTCCATGAGTGTAAATCAGTGTTGTAGCGCGGGGTGTTGCAACAACATCCTGTCCCTACTGAGAATTATTTGTTTTGTGGAAAATACAGTTAAAGATTCGCTGCCTGATGCATAACTCTCTCCTCGCTTCCTGAGAGGTCTCGTGGGTCAGATATACGATGTTGATAATTCTTATGGAAGCGAGACCAAGACGATGAACCGATGCCGTACAGATGCTCATCGCTGTGACAGGATACGCAATAAGATAACGTTCGCCTAATGGACGATTCTTATCGTTCGCAGTAACTGAAGACGTAATGGAGCCCTGATCATAATCCCCTGGAGGTGTAAATGGCTCTGTTGCTGTGCAAAGTGAGCTACTCTCCTCCGCAACCTGGCCTTCCTGAAAAATGACAGGTATAAAGCCTGAAGAGCCCTTAGCTGCATGTCGTGTGTTTTCAAAAAGGTCCTCCACATCTTTATCACCTGTTGCCTTTTGACCCCGCGTGACCTGCCTGCCATAAAAGCCTCAGTAAATGTGATCATTCTCAGATGACTGGGTCACACCTGAGCGAGCAAAAGCCACCAAGCAGGACCTCCACTTAAGCTTAAAGTGTTTGTTTTTCCTTTCGTCCCTTGTTTGTCTTTAACCCAGGCGATGGCTTTCTTGGCTGCTGTTGCTGAAACTGAGGGGGATTTAGGAGATGACAGCCACGCCGCCTCATCCGTCACCATCCGTCTCCGTGACATTTGACTGCGGCAGAGAGGTGAGGATGTGAACCGCTTCTCAACACCTGTCAAGACCTTGAGAAAGAGAAGAATAGTGAGAGACAAATAACTTTAGCACTAAGCCGTGCTCGATGGTTGCGTGCGTTTCCTAAAAATAGAAATTCCTTCTTAATACAGCTGGATTAAACATCCATGCTTAGGCTTCAGATTCCATTCTTTCGCTGCTTTTTTTTTTGTCTTTTTGCACAAAGGTCACACAAGAACAGTTTTATCTGTCACATTCGACACGTGCTTCAATCATGCCTCGACAAAGTCGGCTTGACCACGGGGAGCTGTCAGCTCTGTGGCTGTGACATGCATACGCAGACATTCGCACAATCCCAGAAACTCACGCGAAGACCAAAAAAAAAAAGCCGCTGACATATGAGTGACAGCTGAAACACACACTGGAAAGCAGGAAATGTTCTGAGGAACCCCAGCAAGGAGTGAGGCGAAAAAAAGCAGTAACCCAACTCTCTGGCTTCATCCTGTCAAATTTTCCCCCCCTTTTCCGAGCCCCTGGTATATCCTGATTCAAGCTAAGGCCCGAGCTATTAATACAGAGCGTTGACAGGCCCAATCACAATCAGAGTGTGGCCATTCCTTTCATGCTGAGCAGAGGACAGGAGACTGTCATGGGGATGAGAGATGATAAAAGTAGACGGTGAGAGGTGGTCAAAGTATTAAAGTGAAATTAACCAAACGTACGAGTCCGCGTGGTTAATTAAACTGTGACGCCCAATCGAACACCCTCAAAGCCCAGATTTGGCACTTTTTAATCAGCTCTGGCTGTCAAACGCGGCAATAAATTTCCGATGAAAGAGAAAGTGATTAAAAGCAGACATTAAGAGAGAGAGAAAGAGGGGAGGGGGGGAGAGATGGTGCTTTGGGGAGGAGGGGGGAGGAGAGAGAGTTGCCTATTGTGTAAGATCTTGTTTGTGTGTGTGTGCTGGCTGCAGAGAGGGAGATGGGCTAGGACAATACGTAAGCTGACTGGGTCCAATATAATTCATTCATCATTGTAGTGTGTGTGAGAGGGAGGGAGGGAGAGAGAGAGAGAGAGAGAGAGAGAGAGAGAGAGAGAGTGCTGGGGGGTGAGGAGGGGGTTTGTGTGTCAGACGGTATTCCTGCTCGTCTCGCTCCACCGGTCAAGTTAAATCAGAGGCAGTCTCTGGCACACCTCGGTGGTCTCTCTATCTCCCTGCCTGTCTCCTGCTCTGAAAGCATCAACAGCCTCCTGGTTCAGTATCACAGGTAAGACCTCGCTCTTATTAGGATGTTTCGCCAACTTTTTAAAACTATAACTGACAGATAAACTCAGTTCAAATCTCTTTTTGGCTTTGTTTGTAATGCCCAAACTAAATATTCATCTTATGGGGGCCGTTATTGAATATTGCTGATGTTATCGTGGGAACAACGTGCTTGTATTTTTTTACTGAATTTATCGGTGCAACCTGTTGATGCTGTTTGCTTCAGTTGTCTATGTGAAACTCCTGTGTGTGTGTACCATCTTTAAAATAGCTTTATGATAAGGATGGGAAGAATCCAGTACGTCGTTATTCAAACTATACACACTCAGGTCTCACGTTCTGATAAAAATTGGATCCGCTTCCTGATAAACAGTAGCTGTGCACCCTTTGAAAAGCCTCACTAATGAAGGATTTAATGTCAAAACAAACATGTAAAGGAGGAGAAGGTAGAGAAAGCTCGAGAAATGTAATCTGAGACTTGTCAGTGAGAGAAACTGATTAAGCTGTTGAAGAAATGAGGGGAAAAAAGTGATAATAGATGCATCACATCATGCTCTTAAAACTGTATAAGGGTATGAAGGTGTCACTTCCTTTCTAATATGCCTGTGTAGAAGCTGCTCTGAGGTTGCGCAGTAGAATCATCATCATGTACCCAAACTATCCAAACAATTGAGAGTTAAGTAGGAGCGAAGAGGCTTTATGGTCTGTTGTGTTATTCTAATTCAAAGTGCCAGTACAGGAAATGAAGGGAAAATTTCACATGCGTAAAGAAGTTTGTGCTGTTTAATTGTATAAGTCACATGAAAGCAGAGTTATGTAAACAGACAAACGCAGACATGGCTTCTGAGGCCAATATTTCCATTAGCTGCTCCGCTGCAAGGCTCAAGTCAAATCCTCAATTAGTTCATGGACAATGTCACTTTGTCATGCGCTGTCAAAACCTTCGGGCTGTTTCTGAACATTTTAGCAGAAAAAAGCACATATTTCCTGTGAGGATAATGTCTGATCTCCTTTTCTAAAAAATGCAATAACCTGCACCTCCACATTAACAGGTTTCTTCAGCAGTTGCTTCAAGAAACTCTTGCGCTAAAGGCTGAAGTGACACCCTGTAAGATGAGCCGGAGGAGGAAGTGAGCTTGTAGGAGGCTACGCTTGAGATGCACTCCATTGTTAAACACCCATATTTGAAATCTGCGAGGAGCAACAGTGGCTGATTAAGCTGTTAAAGCCAGCCATGTGTTGCTGTTGCGTAATTGGCAATAAATCAATGTTCCTTTAAAGAAAAACAAAAAAGTTGGAGGCGCCCGTAGTTGCAGAGCGTCCTGTTGACCAATCAGGACCCAAACGTGGTCCGAGCGAGAGGACGATTACGAGAGGCTGAGGTGCTGCGTTTCCAGCGAGTGAACCTCACTTCATAATGGGCTGATATAAATCATTAACTCCATCAACTAGACATTTTAGTGGCTCTCTCTATGAGCAGCCAGATGGTGGTGCTCATGTCAGAGCAGCCGGGTGCTGAAGCCAAGGGCAGCCTCAGATAGCTCAGTTGATGGGAACCAACCCCACCAGTCCAAGCTGTGATTTTTAAACTTCCAGAGGTTTAGCTTTTTCAAAACTTCCCATGATCTCACAAGAAGAGGCTGCGTTTAAATGTCCCCAAAAATAGGATTCAGACGTGGAACGCTGCCACTGTAGAGTCACTCAGGAGTCAGCCTGCGGAGCAAAAAATGGGCCCCAACTTCCTCCTAATCCTGATTTAGTCCTTCATTGTAAGCAGCTTTGTGTTTGCAAACAGCGCAGGGGCCTCTCCGTCCCTTTGTCTTGTCTTAGAGGATGCAGCTTGTTCGTGGACCTTGTGAAGTAGATGTTTGTCTTCCTGTCTGTGGTCACCCAGGGTTTATGGCTGCCACTCAGTAATGTGCCATCTTAGCAGTAGCTACGTCGGACGCAGCTCACCTGCTTCCGAGTCACCTTCTGTCTGCGCCGCCTCACCTTTATTACAGCGCTCGCATACATATATGCACAGCAATTACCCCTCAGCCCTGGTTGTAAGATTCACTCTCCACACACTCTCAGTCATGGAAAAACACTGGTGGTCAAAAGTGTCTCAGGAATGGTGAAAGATGTAAATTTTCTTCCCGTCTTTTCCATTTGTGGTCATCAGAAACCTTTAAAGCATCCAGAGATTTTTTTTTTTTCTCTAACTGCTTTAAATCCCTAAATTGTGAAACTGGTATGTAGCTCTCCTCTTTTGTAAAGCCGGAATTTACAGCCACCCACTGTTACAATCATTAAAGAAAGAAAACACATGCACAGTAAATCCAGGCGATGACATCTGTGTTGGTGCTTTACCCTACCTATTACACCGAGGCCTGTGCAGGAAACTCGCAGAGATATTTCATTATTCTGTTGCCCTTGGCACCAACACATCTTCCACACTCGACAAACCCCACATCTGCAACCGATAAGCGTGTTGCTTTAGTGCACGGAAGAAGAATTCATCTACTGAAACCTGGTGCAAAATGAGGAGTTCTTTGACTCGCAGATAAAATAGCTCTACTGCTGGGGCTCAGACTGTCTTAATGCCAACCAGAGGGCAGTTAGGAATGCAGACAGGGTGGTGGGGGGGTGGAGGAAGGTTTTTAAAAGTGCATTTAATAAATAGTCTACAGTAGCTGCATCTGGATCTCTGCATGAGCTGAAAGGCAAATTTTCAATACTTCTAAATAAATATATATCCGGACAAGCTGGCTGAGTTTATCAATAGGTTTTCCATTCTGATATATCTGCTGCACTGAGTGAGCTGTGAAATGTGAAATCTTAACACTAGAATGCCATCTTGTGGCAAGACACCTGCTTAGTTTATTCAAGCCGATCATAAAAGGATTCCCATGTCTGTCCTCGCAGCTCTTACAGGAGTCGACATTTCTCCGGTATTATACAAAAAAAGTCAACCCCATGTTCTTACAAATGGCCAAGTAAATTGTGGGTTAATCGTCTCTATGTGCTATTTACCTATTTCTTAGCTCCAAATTCACAGCATGCGTCCCGGGGCATCTGCTCGGTTTTAATCTAAGAATAAATATGTTGTTATTTTCATGTAATTAGTAACAGAAACTATCTTTGCAGCTATAGTGCTGTATACATGAGCCTTATGCTAATATTATTACATCCGCCCCGCTAACGACACCCACTAAGCTATTCTATTAAACATAAAGACTCTCAACAAAGGGGAGAATTTGTTTTTTATTCCCATTTCACATTGTGCTCATACAAATGAAGCAAAAAACAAAAAAAACGAACCCGGAGGCAAATTTTCCGCAGCACGCAGGTTTGATTTTCTCACAGTGCAAAGTTTCCACAGAGCCGAATCCCTGCTGTCCTGTTTGTTTAGGTGTGCGCTGATTAGAAGTTCTCATGCTGGGTACAATGTATCTCTGCACACCAAGGGTTTGAAACGTGACATGTCTTTTACAGTGACTGGAGCCTCGAACCTCTCTTTCTCTCTCCAGCCTGCTCCCTCAGTACCTTAGTGTTTAATGGTGTTGATATCCAAGCTCACACTTTGCCATGCAGCCTTCATTAACACAGGTCATAACACAAGGCATAAATGTTCTCCTTCCGGGTGCTGACAGTCCACCCAGATGGACGGGCCATTTGATAAACACTGCACAGTTTTACTGTTGCCCTTCATTAGGAGAAAGCAGAATGCAGACTGTCTGAATAATGATGTTTCAAAGGGCATTTTTGGAATATTGAATAACATGCGACATCTGTTTTTCATGGCTTCTTATTTTACAGAAATAACATAAAGCGTCAGGATGGCTTTAATGTGCAGGTCTTTAATGAGCTGGTGTAGGGTGAGCACTTTCATGGGTGCTCGTGTGGATTAGCGTTTATGGGCCATGCCAGCGGTAATGATGGCGCTTCTCCTAGACTGCCTGTGACATTTTTGTTGTGTTTCTTTTATAGGACTCGCTGAGGCCCTCGCCCAAGGCCTGTATCAGTCACTGCAGACGCACCCTGCCGACAGGGCCCCCTGTTTAAAAGTCCTAGGATCTGGCACTAAAAGGGGAAAATGCAGAATCTAACGGCAGGAGCGACAGACCGGATAGCGCTGACATGTGGCATGTCTGGAAGCCATGAATTCATCTTCACTCTGGTGCCCATCGTCTACGGCTGCAACTTTGTCATCGGCATTGTCGGAAACAGCATGGTGGTGGCTGTCACCTACTGCTACATGAAGCTCAAGACGGTGGCCAACATTTTTGTCCTAAATCTCGCCATCTCTGACCTCACTTTCCTCATCACTCTGCCCATGTGGGCGACCTTCACTGCCACGGGGTATCATTGGCCCTTTGGAGGATTCCTATGCAAGGCCAGTGCAGGCCTGGCGATTTTTAACCTCTACACCAGCATCTTCTTCCTCACGGCACTCAGCATTGACCGTTACCTGGCCATTGTGCACCCGATGCGATCACGCCGGTTTCGCACCGTGATGTACGCAAACATCACCTGTGTCGTGATTTGGCTTTTTGCCTTCGTGCTCAGTGTCCCCACAGCGCTCATCAGGGACGTACACAACATCGAAGACTCTAACAACACACTGTGTGCCATCCTGCACCCGAGTGAAAAAAACGTTGTGAGGTTGAAGGAGCTCCTCCTGGCCATTAACATTATGAAAAGCCTGCTTGGCTTCCTCGTGCCCTTTGTCATCATCATCACCTGTTATTGCCTGATTGGACGAACGCTGCTGGCCACGAAACACATACAGAAAAGCTCCCGTTCCCGGGACGACGAGGTACTGCGCATGCTCGCAGCAGCCGTCCTGGCCTTCTTCTTGTGCTGGATGCCCCATCAGGTGTTCCACTTCATGCAGGTGCTCTCCCAGCTGACACTGGTGGAGAACTGCACCATCCTGGAAATCATTGACACCGCCATGCCCTTCACCATCTGCATCGCCTACTTCAACAGCTGCGTGAACCCTATCGTGTACGGCTTCGTGGGGCGAAACTTTCGCAAAAACTTACTGCGTCTGCTGCGCTGCTCGCCAGGTGGAGCCACTGGGCCTCACCCGAGCATCAGCTCCAAGATGAGTGCGCTCTCTTTTCGTGCCTCCGAGGCACTGAGCCTTACAGTCAAAATGAATTCCTCTTCAGATGTTAAGTGAAAAAAAATCCCCAAAAAACAAGAAACGGGTTATAATTTCACTCATCCTTCTATTTTGCTCTGTGGTTAAAGGGGCTGGAAATGAAGTCATTCCATGCTTGTGAAACCACAACTGTATTACCAAGCACTGAACCCTGCAGAACGGTTAAAATGTTGTATTCATAAGACCAAAAAAACATTCACTACCTTGTACAAGGCTTGTTTGCAGAATAATTATTAACAAACCATCACATGCCACATAACATGCTGGAAAATCTTTCCATCCAAGCCTGTGAAATAAATACCTGTGTCAGAAAATAAAAATAAAAAAAATCCACGAAATAGCTTTATTAATGGAGTATTGCCCTGCAGGAAAACACTACACATAATTACTGACCGCTTATCCCATTATTTATGTAAGATGTGCATATTCTGCAGGATTTTGTCGGCCTTAATGATACAGTGGAGTAATATATCGTCCAGTGATAAACATTCTGTGTGCTCAGCGGGTCTTTCACCAGTTGGAACAGTGATCAAGTGCTCAGCGAAGACGTCAAAGCTAAAAAAAAAAAAAATCATAAGCGGCCTACGCATGCTCTGTCAGCAGCTGTATACATGGAAGAATTGGAAATGTGTAGCAACATGTCATTTAAATTCATATCTGCAACATATCTGACTATGGTAACTAGTATGTGTATGTTATATACAATTGTCAATCATGTGCTCCTTGTGAAAATGTATAATATATGTTTGCATACTAAGATCGAAGTCTGGGAGTGGCGTACTGTAAAAATGAAGAGTGCGACACAAACACTCCGGGGTGGGGGGTCATTGTCGATGTTTCTGGTGGTTGTCTTTGTGGTATTTAAACATGTTGATAGATGTTTTTTTCTACTCTCTACGTGTACATTTTGTGAATATATGAAGATATGAATAAAATGAAGAAATCCAGCTCATTGTTTTATCTCCTCTTACTCAGGATTGAGACACATCCGTCTGATTAGTCACGAGAACATGTCATTAGTTACCGCCACATTAAGAAACAACGCTTGATCTGACGGCTAAAATTAGCTTTTAGGAATCAAAATAAAGTGACCTTGGCTCAAAGTTTCTATGAATCATTGACTTTGCATCACACAGAGTCCACGTAGCAAAGATTGGGATTGGTGGATGGGTGGGAAGCTGAGGGTTATAAGTGCTGTCCACAGGTGAGGTAAGACTTACTGCCAACATGAAGGTCCTCCTGTTTTTCGGATTGGTGGCTGTTGCCTTGGCTGACAACGCTCGCTTCGAGGGGTAAATTTACAATTTTTTTAAAGCAAAAAAACATTAAGTTTCCGTAAACAAAGTGACGATTTAAATGTAAAAAGTTGCCGAGCTAATCAAGACTTTGCTTTCTGACAGATGATATATCATAGCACTGCATTTAGCCCATGTTAACTAATGAACCATGCGAGTACTGTATTCTGATTTCGATTTAATAACCTCACATCAATTAAAAGTATCCTCCGGAGAACCATCTGTTAACACAAGAAGTTGCTGTGTTTCTGAAATAGGTCTTTTTTTTATTGACACTAGTTCTCAGTGAAAACAACTATGTGCTTTAGCAGTATTGTACATTGTTGTTAAACTGACTTAAAGCTCCCCAAAGCTCCGGTTCAGAGGTGAAATTTAGCATATAAAAAGGTTGCTGGAGCACACGGCTAAATTCACAGGACTCTGATGAAGACGCAGCAGTGTTGAAACATTGGTCTGTTTGCACAAAGGCTGCGAATTAAGCAGCGTACTAAAGTCCTGATTAAATTTGCAGTCCTCGAGCTGAGAAGCACCTGTTCAGATGCATTTTGCTTGAAGAGGCACGTGGAATTGTGTTTCTAGTGGAATTTAACATGTTTAAAATTAAAATAGCTACAAATATTATTACGTGATGGTGGGAAAATGATGCTGCAAGGTGGTTTGACGACTTGTGGATGTGTAAAGATACCACCGGGTGTCACTGAATAAGACAATTAACCATCACAAACCAAAAGTATGACAGATGTGATCTATTTATGGTCTCCTCCTTCATTTCAATAGCGAGAAAGTCTTCCGTGTGAAGCCTGTTCACGATGAACATGTGACCTTCATCAAGGAGCTGGCTAGCAGCATTGAGGTACCTGTCTGCTTTGCCGTACACATTTATTATTTTTTTCTAACTGTGACATTCATGAATTCTTAAATTTTGGAAATATATGCACGCACCTCTCATCTCACACTCATCACTTCACAGTTTGCCAAGTGAGGTGCTGATGTGTTGTTTTGTGATTCTGTGTCAAACCTCATGTGCTTGACTTTGGCGCCATCTGCAGGTCGACTTCTGGAGCCCCGAGAACGCCGAGCAGGTGGTTGCCGGCACCGAGGTGGACATCCGTGTGCCTGCACGGTACCTGGATATGGCGTTCATCAAGTTGCAGCAGAGCGACATGGAGCACGAGTAGGTCACTGCACAAACATTCAAAGTTAGAACATGTGTCTGATTTGAATTTGATCACAAGGTTTTAACATTATTTTGAATTAATCTCTCCTCAGGGTTCTCATTGAGGATGTCCAGGCTGCCATTGATGGTCAGGCTGACAACGGACCCTCTCCCAAAGCCCACAGCTACACCAAGTACAACACCTTGAGCACTGTAAGAGGCAAAAAACATCAATACTCACTATCTAAATTCTGTCTGAATGCTTATTTTTTTAAGGTTTTATGCAATATTTTTTTCTGATTTCAGATCGAGTCCTGGATTAACACTGTTTCCACCTCCAACGCTAATCTGATCAGCAAGCAGATCATTGGAAAAAGCTATGAGGGACGCTCCATGCATCTCCTCAAGGTATTTCAAACTTACCTACTATCTAAATATGAACATCAACCCTACGTGATGCATAATTTCAGATATGTACGTAACTAATGGCACAATTTCATTTAATTAATGTTGTATGATTACCTTTAAAAATACAGCTTGGCAAGAAGTCCAGCTCTCAGAAGCCCGCTATCTTCCTGGACTGTGGTATCCACGCCAGAGAGTGGATCTCTCCTGCTTTCTGCCAGTGGTTTGTCAACGAGGTACGGAAGATCCCTGGATTAGTACGGCAAGCATTCATAGAGAGGCCTCCACTGATAACCTTTGTTTTTTTGCTTTTTTTTTAACAGGCTCTGACCACCTACGGCTCCGACTCTCAGATGACCAGCCTGCTCGACCAGATGGACGTCTTTGTCCTGCCTGTCTTCAACGTTGACGGCTACGACTACACCCACAAGAGCGTATGTTACCACCCGCTGTAGTTTAAACTTATATACATTCGAAACAATCATATTTGGGCTCAACAACAACAAAAAAATAGCTTGCTTGAGTCTTTTTGAGTTGGGACAACTTCTGCTGAAATTATGTTCAACCAACAAATCACAATGAGTTCAAAGATCAAAGGTCTTAATTGTTTGAAACTGTCCTAAAGTCCTGAACTCAAGCTGAAGAAAGATTAAGTTATTAAGCCAATATCATTAAGTTACTTCGACTTGAATTTAGTTTTAAGTCAACAAAAGCAGAACTCTGAGTTTAAATTATACATATTGTCAAGTTGATGCAGCCTTATTATGTCAACCCGACTGATCAAAATAGCATTTGCAACTTCACATCGCTAAATTAGACTTGCAATTGTGCATTTAATAAAGTGTTGGGAATAGGTTTGAATTACTTCTTTGACTGTAGAAACTATACTGTGTTGTTTATTTGAAAGAATCTGTTGATTTAAAAAAAAAAAAATACACGTCTGCCTTGTGCATTTTGTCCACTTGGGAACTTTAGGACAGGATGTGGAGAAAGACTCGCTCCAGGAAGTCTGGATCCAGCTGTGTTGGAGCCGATCCCAACAGGAACTTCGATGCTGGCTGGTGCAGTAAGTGCAACATATGCAGTTGTTTGTTATTATAATAAAGGGGTAATGCAGCAATTTAATATTACATTTCTGTAAAGTTGGGCGCCTTGTAAGTATAAGATTAAAAAAGAAATCTGTGCAGCAGAGGCCGAGATACTCCGACTTTTAGTCCCTGGCGTGCGTCACACCTCACAATCCTTGAATCTGTTACACAATGCAAGTCGGTATCATGTTAACTCAGAGCTTCCCAGTCTGCTAAAAACTGACCCCGTCAACACCACACCTCCAGTTTGTACCCCAAGTTGTATAAAGCAGCTGAATATGTCATCAATGAATCTCATAAATGTGTGTATCATTAATACTTCTCCAAAATGCCAATACAGCCCTGGGAGCCTCCAGCTACCCCTGCAGCGACACCTACTGTGGAGCCTCCCCCGAGTCCGAGATTGAGGTCAAGAATGTGGCCAATTTCATCCGCGCGAACAAGTCCATCATCAAGGCCTACCTCACCATCCACTCCTACTCTCAGCTGCTGCTCTTCCCCTACTCCTACACCTACGACCTGGCCGCCGACCACAACGAGCTGGTCAGTGAACATCACGTCTAATCAGTGGCTTGCTGTACAGTGCGTGCTGTTGAATCAGGGTGCGCCCGCTTAGTCACAATGAATAGATAATTATACATCAATGCAGTGTCACATGCATCGTGAATGTGCTGCAATGCTGTAGAGTCTTACTGGAAATACACATGCATGCAGTGGAAAGAACATTATCAGTAGATTTACTGTGCTGGACGCAGTCATGTTACATTTATAATCAGTCTGAGTCTTTAAATAATAAGCAACATATATGTATTAAAAGTCACAGCTATCTTATTCTATGGATTACACTGGCTGCAGATTTAAAAATAAGTAATTTGCTAAAGAAGTTCAAATTATGCCGCATGTACGCAGGAATTATATCCATTAGAGGTTTAGAGGATTCTTTATCCTTCGGAACTTTTAAAGGTTTCCAACACAAGCAAACCTACACTTTTGGAACAAAGGACTTTATAAAACTAGACTATGATGGTAACTTATTTGAGTATCTCTGAAAGTGTTTCCAAAAGCTTAAGCAAGAACTCAGCCCAGTCCCATTACAGTGTGACTCTTATCTAAGGGCCACACTTAGCTGCTGCAAATCATTTACTCCCCGCTCACATGTCTCATTCTCATGGCTCTTTTACCTCTCACCGGGGTGTCCGGGGGTTGCACAGTTAACACTCACACCCCTGTTCCAGCTATCACACTAACGGAGGCAGATCACACATCTCTGCCTCCCTATTACTCACTTGTAATTTAGCCTCTCTTCTGACACTTTACAGAACAAAAGAACTCCAGGGATCTGTCATAACTCATCTGTCCATCCAGAAATATCATTTCCTGCCCGTGCGATTCTCCGAGGGGGCGGTGCAGGGGTTTCATTTCCTCTCGCGACTCACTGAAGCTATTACTTTTCGTTTTTTTCTGTAATATCGGTAAAAATGTTTGGTTTGAGGTAGTGAAACGGACGGTGTAGAGGAAAACAACATATACTTAGAATTTCTGCTAACAGCCGCACAAGAATGGTTGTTTCTCTGTGGTTGTGCCTTTTCACTATCAAATAGAAGTTGTCCACTTATAAACCAAAACATGGATTTATACGTATTAAAACACTCCACTGCTCAGATTGACATATGTTTGGATGCTTTGTCTGGTATGACTAGTCTTTTGAAGTTGTATGAATATATCTAGACTTTATATGTTAAAAACACTATTAATTTGTCCTTTAACACACCTTCTTCTCTGTATTGCAGATGAGCATTGCTGAGGGAGCCTCCTCTGCCCTGCGTAGTCTGTATGGCACCCGCTACACCAGTGGACCCGGAGCTACCACTATCTGTAAGTGCAGCAGCTGTATTGGAACTGTTCAGCTAGAGTCCTGTTTCTGCCCCTAATGTTATGCATTATGATGTGTTCACGTTGCACAAATCTCTGTTGAGAGATGTGGCCTCAAAAGGCAAAAGGCAATCAGGAGCACACTAGTCAAGGAAAGGGGTTTTTTTCCTTCTTCTTTGCTCCCCCCCTAAAGCACTATTTGTATGAAAACCCATCCAGACTGTCCCAGGCCGTCAGCATAGCCCACTCTGATTAATCCCCCTCTCCTTATCTGCCCTTAGACCCCGCTGCTGGAGGTTCTGATGACTGGGCCTACGACCTGGGAGTGAAATATTCCTTCACCTTCGAGTTGCGTGACACTGGTCGTTATGGCTTCCTGCTGCCCGAGTCTCAGATCAAGCCCACATGCGAGGAGACCATGCTGGCCGTCAAGTACATCGCCGCCTACGTGCAGAAGAACCTCTATTAAAAAGCGGAACTGCCAGGACCCCTGCCAACTCGGCTCCTCTGCACCAGCCCCCAGCCCCTCCAACCTCTCAGCCATCTCCTGCCCGTATCCATGGATACGGGCACCACCCGCCATGTTTCCTCACTGTGCTTGACAGAATGTCAAGATGAGTGCAAACAATAAAATCAATGATCCATCCCCACATGCTGAATCAATTTTTTATGTGTATATGATAATATAGCGTCTGGGATACTGTGAATTTTGCCATTTGTATGAAAATATAAAACAAAACAGTGATGCGGGCTACAGTGAGTAAAATAATGCTTACACTTTACAGCCCGTCACTAATGGATCAGAAAACCTGCTTTTATTGCAAATTATAAGAATAATTTCCTTTAAGGAAACATGGCGTGCCACGGGAGTTTAAGCACGCAAACAATCCAGTGTGCCTCCTCGAATAGTTCTCACAAAGCTCTGAGAAACAAAAGGATCCTCTCATTTACCGGATCGGCCCCCTTTTTAGGATCCTGGTGATCCCTCTAGTTCAGGTGGCACTGTTCCAGCAGTGGAGGTTGGGTGGGTGGGGGTATCGTTCCAGCAGCACAGTACGTGACAAACACAGAGTACTCCGTGGCAGCGTCTCCACTCTGCCAAGCATCTGCCCGAGTGGAGAAAATAAAGAAGCCAAAGACCAGCAGGAAATTATTTGCTGCACTTGGACACACATTTCTGGGGTAGAAGGTAGAAAGGTAAACAACAAGGGTTGCTTTTTGAAAATCGTCACAAATGATTTGACGTTTTTCTGGATATTTAGACAACTTACGTCACCCACATGCATGCATTTAAAGTACACTCACTTATAACCTCTTTTCGATTTAAGCCAAAAGTAGGATTTCTTTAGTTTTTTCTTTTTCATGTGCTGGCCAGTTTTGAGATTTTGGAATAACATGTTCTGTCAGCCTTATGGAAAAAGCATCCAAAATACACTTTCAGCTGTTTATTTGAATACACCTCATATTTCTGCATGTGTGGTTTTCAATTATAATAAGGCCTTTTTCTTAAAAAGCCTTTTTTCTGATTCTCCAAGTCAGAAATCTCCACTTCAGTGGCACTTACATGCATTCTGATTTTATTTCTCCCTATATTATGAAGGTTTTTACAGAGGGGGTTTGTCCATTTATACGTCACAGCCTGACTCATAGAACACTGTGTTCCTGTGTTGTTTCAGTATTTTGTGGTTTATGGAGTGATAAAAATTATTGTCTCTTCTGTAAAAACCTTTGGCTCAAATATACCAACAAACAAAACTAAATTGTAAAACTGATTTTATCTAATGTTGAGGTTTCGGTTCTGGAAATTTATGCAAATAAGGCACATTTAGATATATAAATACTTAATTTGCATATTTACACATGAATTTAAAAACAAACTTGTAATACAGAAAATGATTTGGCTTATTGTAAGTGAGCAGCTGCACAATTTTCATGATGATGTCAATTAGTTACATTTTTTCCTACTTATATATAAGTTACAGTTCAGACCCGACTCACTATTAGATGTATCTCAAAAAGCACCACTGTGGCGAAAATGGAAAAATGTTCTGATTGTCGAAGCATTTTATAGGGTTGTAAAATCTGTTATTCCTTCTCTCTTTGGCTTTAATACGTCAAGAAATGAAACAAAGCTTTACTAGGGCACTTTTAGATACATAATACCTCATTTGTATATTTAAATGCAAACAACACAGCAAGATAATTGGCTCATTCTAAGAAATCTTACTCTTATGCTTATTATTAATTCTGTTTTTACACCATACTCTGACTTTTTCATACTCTTTTTTTTTTTACTGTAAATACCACCACTTCTGCACCTCTTTTGGTAAAAATCTGCACGTTCTTGTGTACATTGGTTCCTTTATCTTTCTTGAACTGTAGCATGTGTGAGATACTGGACAACTTGAATTTCCCCCAAGGAGATTAACAGCTCGATCTATCTGACTAATCAGCCGGGGGAAGGTTCGTTAGTTAAAATCTAATTTCCTACTCAACCCTATATGCATAAGTTACAGTTCAGCCCTTTGTCAATATTAGACTTACATCTAAAAGCACCATTTGATCTAAGGATGCACTCAAGAGCTCAACTCAGTCAACTTAAGACTTGTATAATACAAGAGGACCTCTGTTCCATAACCCGAGTTATGGAACATTATATACCAAAAAATATAGAAAATAGTGATAAAATCCAAAATCACTTCTGTTAAAACTTTTGACTCTAACATGCCAACAAAGGAAACAAAATTGTGAAGCTGGCTTCATTATAAATGCATGCTAATTAGGGCACTTTTAGATGTGCATCAATTGCATATTTAGACATGAAAACTTGCAATAAAGCAACTGTACATAGCCAAATGTTCCACTGGATAAAATTCTATCCCTGCTCACCTGCATTTAAGTGTCTCCACTTAAGCACAGTTCAGCCCCCTCTTCTGCTAGACTTATCTGTAAAAGCACCACTTGATCTGAGGATGAGCTCCAGAGCAGACAACTTAAAATAATCCACTGTTGTGTAACACAGCGGCGGACCTCTGACCTCCTCGGCTCCCGTCCGTTTGTCCTGCTGTGGGCCGTTTGTTCCACGAGATGGCGTCCAAATGCCAACGGTTTTATTATAATACGGAACACGGTGTTCTTGAAAGTGTCTCGTTACTGAAATCATCCTCGTTCCCCCCACAACCACCACCACCACCTCCTCCATCCATCCATTGTCAGTGAAGATGACAGCGGGTCAGAGCGGAAAGGTCAAGGAGGCAGAGTGAGCGCGTGGGGGTGGAACACGAGGGTCTAAATTAGAATTTTTTCCCAACTTGTAAACAACATAAAAACGGATAAAAAGTGTGTTTAGAAGTATAGAATGCTGCTTTTTTAAAATTAAGTGTAATTTAATTTTTGTTACCTCAGTGTTCGCTTCTAAAACGAACTCCGTGAACCAGCCGGTGGGGGAGTGGAGGCTCGTGTCTGCAGCAGGTGGGTGTGTGGTGGGACGGTCACATGACGCTGCGCCTGGCTACTGTCATGCTGGTATAAATCCACCTCTGTATATTTAGTCAGTCCTTCTTCTCCACGCAAAGCTGTCCGTCTTCAAGTCCAGGCTACCACGTAGCTTTCGACTTATTCCTCAGTCATGGCTGGTAAGTTATTTTTTTCTTTTTCTTATTTTTGTTTGTTTGAAACATTTGCTTCAGCTCGCTGCTGTCGTTTCCCCTCAGACGCGACTTTTGTTGAGAGTTTTTAAAAACTACTTAAAGTCAAGCTGATATAGAGAAAATGCGGTTGATATTGCTTGATAGGAAGTTTTTTTTTGTTGGTGGTGCATTTGAACAGCAAACGAATGTTGAAAGCAGCTGCAATGTGTTCAATTAGCTGCTGAACATTGTGTCTCCAGTTGTGTAGCTGCAACTCCATTAGTCAAAGAAAGCATTAAGTCTGCATCCTGTCATATAAAACATTAAAGATTCATTTTATTTTAAACTATCAACTACCTCCACATTCTCTTCTTCCAACAACATCTCTTGAATGAAGTAAAAGTGACATTAAATCAGTTTGAAAGTCCCTCAATCTCATTTTTCATGACTAACTTTCTTGCAAAATGAGCTGCAGATTCACTCCAATCTGGGCTGCCTTTGAGCTGATCTCCATCTTTTCCTTTCTAACTTTATTAATCATGTGTTTCATGTTATGCATGGGCACTGCAGCACTGGATGTACCAATTGCAAAGGGGGCGTGAGAGGCAGGAGGTGTGGCGCTTGAGCAGTGAGACAGAACAAGTTTTCCTGGCAAGCCGTGGTAATGGGAGCCATTGTTCTATGGCTGGCCTGGAGTTGGAGAGGAAACAAAATCACACTGCAAGCCCCCATTAGCATTTCATGCACGCTCTACCTGCCGCCCATTACCGGCTGCACGGTATCAGGGGCTTTAACGAGCAATCCAGGTGGGATTCATCCTGGCTCACGTCGCACAAGCATCCCAGCTGCCGTGCTGATTTCATCATCTCAATTTATACGTCCTCTCACAGGCGAGTCATTGTTCGCAGCCATGACTTGGCAGGTAGCTGGCAGATTTTCCCCCTCCCTGCAGTCTGAGGTGGTGGTACAGAGCAGGCACCACACTGCAAATAAAATTCACCCTTACGAGACATTTAATCTTTTACTGGGCACCGAGGTCTTATTTTTCTCGAAACAAGCGAGAAATCTTCCACTTCCTCAGAGTTGTGGATTGTCGGGAACATTCAGACTTCAGAGTATCTGCACAGAAGCACTTCTTCCATTACCCAAGGGAGCAAGGAGCTGTTGCTGTAATACTTGGCTCCAAACACGACTGATGTGATGTCAAGACGTACGCCGAGCAGTTACACGTGAAATAGAAGAAAGTTTTTCAACTATTTGAAACATCAGTGCTTCATGTTAAGGTGTTATCCATTGACGAAAACAAAGGCTTCTTGCTAATATTAACAATTTAAATCCAGTTTGTGTTTTGCATAAACACTGCAACCTCACTGCTTTGCACTAAGTGTCATTTAACTTATAGTACATGATGTACTCACGCACTGAATGCGAGCCAGTTAAATCCCAAGTAAGGAAAACGGCTGGATGACAAAACACAAGATGCAACTTTGTACCTACAAACTTTTTTTTCTTTTAAATAATAGAGTGCAGAGATTTAAATATGTGGATATTTTGTTATTTTCTGTAAATTACTTCATTCTCCAGAACTATTTACAAAGACTTTGGCCTAATTTAGCCATTATTTTTTTTTAATGTTCTTATTTTTTGTCTCTTTACAGATCAGGCCTTTGTGACGTTGGCTACCAATGACAGCTATACTCGGGGCGCCATGGTTCTGGGCAAGTCCCTCCGTAACCACAATACATCCAAGAAGCTGGTGGCACTCATTGGTCCACAAGTGTCTGAGCCATGCCAGTAAGAAACAAACCTCCCCTGCAACCAGTAGCACAGCATTTCTGAATTCTGCCTTATAAGCATTCCTGTCAGCTCCTGTTTTCCACCTGGATGCTTCATGACGATTAATTTCATAGTATTGTAACTCGTCAGGTCTGTGCTGAGGAGGATCTATGACGAGGTGAGGGTGGTGGATGTGCTGGACAGTGGCGACACGGCACATCTGGCCATGATGAAGAGGCCTGACCTG